GAGAAAGAGACACTGCAGACTCCAAATATACAGCAGGCGTCAGGGTCTAGATCGAACCCACGACCTCCTGCATATCAGGCGAGGTAGTTAACATCTCCTAGCCACCGTGATGATGATGATGAGAGAAAGAGACACCCAGACTCCAAATATACAGCAGACGTCAGGGTCTGGATCGAACCCATGACCTCCTGCATACCAGACGAGGTAGTTAACATCTCCTAGCCACCGTGATGATGATGATGAGAGAGAGAGACACTGCAGACTCCAAATATACAGCAGGCGTCAGGGTCTGGATCGAACCCACGACCTCCTGCATACCAGGCGAGGTAGTTAACATCTCCTAGCCACCGTGATGATGATGATGAGAGAAAGAGACACGCAAACTCCAAATATACAGCAGGCGTCAGGGTCTGGATCGAACCCACGGCCTCCTGTATACCAGGCGAGGTAGTTATATTCAGATTCCAAAGAACACAGGATGAGATGTTATTATCCTTTGTGCAAGCACTTCCAAGAGTTCATGAACAGTGAGCCTGGTGAAATTTGGGGAGCGCATCGTCAGTAGTGAACCTTTGGGTCCTAGGGTGTTTCGGCCTTTCATACTATACACCCTCCCCAAAGGCGGCCAGCGACAGGGTGATCAATCCTACGCTTGCGTCCCATTCCCAATTAGTCATAGGAGTTGCCTTGTTGTTGATAGCCAACATCCCATGGGACTATGCATGGCAGGGGCGTCCTCATCCCTGAGTCAAGCATTGTTGACTGCATACCTCCTGGCCCTCTCACTTTGGGGCCCAGCTGGGGTCTTTCCTCTTCATCCAGAGCCACTGACTGCTGCCTTCTGCCGCCTCCGATACAGCTCTGATTGCCGAACGCTGGCTCTGGCCCTTAATTCCCAGGTCTCTAAGCAGTCTGGTTGTAGATGTTGCCACAAAACCTCTGCAGCCCACCTCCACTGGTCGGACTTCTGTGTTCCAGCCATGATGCCGTGCTTCAGCAGCTAGATCGGCATAGCGCAGATGTTTTCGCTCATAAGCCTCATCTACTGAGTCCTCCCAGGGTACTGTGAGCTCAATGATGAAGACCTTCTTGAGCGAACGGGACCAGAGCACCATGTCAGGTCTTAGGGTGGTGGTTGCGATCTCCGGAGGAAACACAAGTTGCCGGCCAATGTCAGCTAGCATTTTCCAGTCGCGGGCCAAGCGCAGCTGGTCTCGCTCTATTGGTGTAGAGCCGCTCTTTGGTGGTTTAGCCCCTTCGCGGACAAAGGTCGTCCGTAAGGGGTGTGATGCTGCTGGGGGTGGTAGGGAGTTGGTGGCAGTTCGCTTGTCCTCCAGGGCGGATGCAAGGTTTTTAAGGACTTGGTTGTGACGCCAAGTGTAGCGTCCTTGGGTGAGGCTTGTTTTACACCCTGTGAGAATGTGCCTGAGGTTGGCTGGCATGGAACAGAGGGCACAGTCCGGATCTTCACCATACCATTGGTGAAGATTAACTGGTGTTGGAAGGACGTCATATGTTGCTCTGATGGAAAAGCTCAACCGCCTCGCTTCCATGGCCCACAGATCCTTCCAGCTGATCTTCCTCTTCTCCACACTGTCCCATCGAGTCCACTGTCCCTCTTTGGCAAGAGAGACTGCCTTGGCCCACCTTGCAGCCTCCTCCTGATGGCGTACTTCCTGCACTACCATCTTCCGCCGCTCTGGTGCATTGGCCTTACTCCAAGCAGCACGGCTAGTTAGTCCAAAGCCTCCTCTCCCTTGCTGAACATGACCCACAATGTCAGCATGTCTGAGGGCTGCTGTTGCCTCCTGGACTGCTTTTCCTGGCCTCCATTTGCGCCCAGTTGCCAAGGTCGGCGCGTTGTTGCTCACCACTGGGTCTCGAGATTCATTCAGTGTCATCTGGAGCCTGGTTTTTGCACACTTGAATTCCTCGGTTAGACTGGTGAGGGGCAGCTTGAGGACACCATCTCCACCGTGATGATGATGATGAGAGAGAGACACGCAGACTCCAAATATACAGCAGCAGGCATCAGGGTCTGGATCGAACCCACGACCTCCTGCCACCATGACGAAAGCTAAAGCAGCTTTGAGCATGAAAAGTGCTTGGATGGAATGGCTGGCACACAACCGTGTGTAGTACAACAACGGCGGTGCATATAACTCGATAAAGGCTGCAAGAGAGAGCACGGTTTTTTCTTGTACTGTACTTCTATGGCTCCAACGTCTTAAGTTACCCGGCCCTTCTACCGAGCCGCATTGACCAGCGTGGTGAAGTATGGTCAAATAAATCCCAACTGAATCCAGCAGTGGATTGGCGAAATGTGGAGGTGACCTGATGCCCCAATTGACTCACGTTTATTTATCCTGGCGAGGTGGAAAAACCCGCAGACTTTTGCGAATTGGGTGGGGGGGAAACCATTTGTTTGCGAGCACCTATTATGGCTTGCGATAGCCACACGCGTACACACACATGCGCAAAGGCAAAGCTCCCCCGTGTAGCCTTGGCAGACTGTTGGGGCAAGTGCTGTTAGCGAGCGAGCAGCACCTATGAAGGCCGGCACTGTGTTACCACGAGGTGGGGTGGGTGGCCAGCACCACCTACACCACCACGCCCGACCGCCTTTGTCTCCCCCAGTGGCGATGTTTACGCATCGCACCACATCACGTACTCATTTGAGGCTGAGTTGATCTAGGGGATGCCCAGGACCACGGTTCAGACCGCATGCTTCGAGCGCTACCCATCACCACACACATGTGCACATATACTTACACACACAACACATTTATACAAACGCACGTATCCCACGTACCGTGTTTATATGACCATCACGCATTCAAATATACGCACCGATATACATACAATCGCGTGTACACACACACACAATCACAATCTTTATTCATACTGGAGGAGGAATCCGATCAGCTAAAAAGCTCTTGTTCACAAGCACACGTGTTAAAAAAAAAACACGCACAAAGCACACACAAATATATTACACAAAGGTTTCCATTCATATATATAGACAAATATTATACAAAGACAAAGATCCCTGGTTATAGGCATGCAGAATATAGATCGTACGGGCAAATGTTTGTTAGACGGCACGCGTTTTTTTTAAAGGTTATAAAACAAAAGATAGCACAAAGACAAAGGTCCCCCGTGTAGCACCCACAGACTTGTTGGGGCAAGGGTGCTGTTAGCAGCAGCAACAGCAGCAGCTATGAAGGCTGTGGGGTTGGCCAGCACCACCCCCGGGTATAGGCTCTAGAGGCTGTTGGGGGTGGGGGGCAAATGATGTTAGCGAGCACCTATTAAGGTTATAACTGTCCTGTATATATATATTCACAAAGACACACACAGCGACATATTTACACAAAGACAAAGATGCCCCCCGTGTAGCCTTAAGATCGTGTTGAGCCAAGTGCTGTTTGCGAGCGCCTATTAAGTCCAGAACGGCACACGACGCGTTTGGGGTGACCAACACCACGCCCGGCCGCCTTTGTCTCCCCAGTACCCCCCACCCAACGTGTATAGATACAAACGAATATCAACATTCACCATTCATCACGCACTCGCATTCATTAAACACACACACAGATGCAGTCTATACAACGGGCTGTACGTGCGGGCACAGGTAAAGATTCTGAACGTTGTTTCAGAATGCTTCTTTCAACATCACCGATTGTAACATCACCGAAGATATCGCACACACACAGACACAGACAGACACGAAGCAGCAGTGGACATCAACTCAATAGAATTCCACAATCCGTAACAACATGCCGTGTAATGTTCCGTAAGTCGAGGATGTAGACTTGCTACACGTGCTGCAATGTGTGTCCACGCAACGGTTGACATCACTCGTTCGCATTGTACACGATCTGTGATACAGTCTATAATATAGACTGCATGTACTATAGACAAAACATCCGTGATACAGTCTATAATGTAGACTACATGTAATATAACCAATACATCTGTGGTAGTCTATAATCTAGACTGCATCTACTATAGCCAATACATATATGATACAGTCTATAATGTAGACTGCATCTACTATAACCAACACGATATGTTATACAGTCTATAATGTAGACTGCATCTACTATAGCCAATACATCTGTGATACAGTCTATAATGTAGACTACATGTACTATAGACAACACATATATGATACAGTCTATAACGTAGACTGCATGTACTATAACCAATACATCTATGCTACAGTCTATAATATAGACTGCATGTACTATAGACATTACATCTGTGATACAGTCTATAATGTAGACTACTTGTACTATAACCAACACATCTGCGATACAGTCTATAATCTAGACTGCATGTACTATAGCCAATACTTCTGTGATACAGTCTATAATGTAGACTGTATGTACTATAGCCAATACATCTGTGATACAGTCTATAATGTAGACTGTATGTGCTATAACCAACCCGATCTGTGATACAGTCTACAATGTAGACTACATCTACTATAACCAATACATATGTGATACAGTCTATACTCTAGACTGCATCTACTATAGCCAATACATCTGTGATACAGTCTATAATGTAGACTGCATCAACTATAACCAACACATCTATGGTACAGTCTATAATATAGACTGCATGTACTATAGCCTATACATCTGTGATTGTCTATAATGTAGACTGCATGTCTTATAGCCAACACATCTATGATACAGTCTATAATCTAGACTGCATGTCCTATAACCAACACATCTGTGATACAGTCTATAATCTAGACTGCATGTTCCATGTCCAACAACAGTAGCCATCACTCAACTCGCATTACGCACACGATCTGTAAGAACGCAAGTCGAGAATACATCCTGCGCGTTGCCAACAAGAACAAGAAGAACAACGCGTCGCTTGCTATAGCATTACACACGAGCTTGTCAATCAATACAGTCTATAATGTAGACTGCACGTGTGGTAGAACACGGTGTGTGTACAACAACGGGGGATGCCGGACCCACCTGCGTTTTGTCGGGACTCGCTTGAGAGAGAAGCTTTTTAAATCACGGACACGAGAGAGAGACGACTCCCCCCCCGCCACCACCACCACCAACCCACCCCACCACGCTTGATTCTTCACACACACACACGGGTGTTCTAAGATAAAGATGTTATTCCTTGGGTGATCTCAGAATTGCCCGAAACCCGTAAATGATAACGACAACAACAACAACGACGATGATCAATCTATTCCTAAATAGCGATTTAAAGCAATCGTCGTCGAGTTCGTGACTGTTGTTGAATTCGTTTGCAGACTCCCTCGGCTTCACTTGCCCGCCTCTCTGGCCGTCTGTCTCTGTCTGTGTGGTGGTGGTGGAGGAGGAGGTGGAGGAGGAGGAGAGATGGAGAGAGACGGGGGAGGGGAGAATGGTGTTGGTGGTGAGGAGGAGGGGGCAGTGCGCGTGTGTGAGAGATGGAGAGGGGATGGAGGTGGGGGAGATTGGGAGGAGTGGCGTGGAGGGGCGGTAGAAGGAATGGAGATGGAGGGTGGTTGGGTGGTGGTGGTGGTGATGGTGGTGGTGGTAGGGGGTGGGGAGGAAGGCGAGAGAGAGGAGAGAATGGGGGGAGAGATTGAGAGGAGCAGTGACGGATGGGAAAATATGGAGGTGGTGGTGGAGGAGGAGAGGAGGAGGGGGGTGGGGGGGAGAGCAAGAATCAGAATCTTTATTTAGACCGCAGGAAATCCGATGAGCTGTAAAGCTCTTTATCATAGGTGTCTAAGTAAGGGGCGGGTCATAACGTTACAACAACAATTACCAAAAAAAAAATCGACAGCAGTGCAAAGTATAGGAAATGTAAATCAATAACTGTTTTTAAAAAAATTCTATAATAAAACTAAACTATTTAATTAAATTAATTTAATTTATTATTTTATCTTTATACGTGACTTTACCGAAAGAACCAAGAAGATGAATCCCTGCAGTCACGAAAGCTTTAAATCGAAAGGTAAGTAGGTGGTTTCGGGGGTGGGAGTGGGGGGTTATAGGATAGATTGTGGGGAGGATAGATGAATTTGTAAAATGTTGAGATGGGGGAGAGGGAAGAGATGGAAGATGGAGTGGGAGATGTGAACGAAGCATTTACTAGAGACGGGATATGGAGGGTAGAGGGCGGGGAGATGATGGTGTGTGTGGTGGAGTGATAGAAATCAGATAGAGGAGAGAAAAGAGTTGGGGGGGGGGGAGTGAGAGATGTGAAGAGAGAGGCGGAGGAGAGATGAGGATGGCAGAGGTTGCAACCTGGTACCCGATACCCGTACCCTACCCGATACCCGTTTGCGACCCTGGTGCGGCCGGGTACGGGTACGGGTAGACCGTGAGTCACTGGTGAGTCACCGTTTGTCACTCATTTCCCAACGTCTTGTCTCTTCTCACAATTCAAGTTCCCAGAATCAACCCACCCGCGCCTGCAACATGGCTTCATCCCAGAGGTCGCAATCAGGTACCCGATACCCGTACCCTACCCGATACCCGGCCGGGTACGTTACGGGTACGGCCGGGTACGGGTACCCGTTTTCCACCCTGGTGCGGCCGGGTACGGGTAAGGAATCAAACCCCGTTTGCGACCTCTGGAGGATGGGAAGATCGGAGAGGATGGGGAGGGAAAGGTGGCAGGGGGAGGCTGTTGCCGGTAACGCGAGTTCAGTCCAGATGTCCAAAACCCGGGGTTTCATCTCAGCCACTCGCACGCTCCTTCCCCTCCCCTCTATTCATGAACGGCTAGCGGAGGGCTTTTGTGAATCTCTCACTCCCACCCCCCTTTCTCTCCCGTTTCTCTTCTGTCTCTCTCTCTCTCCTCCCCTCTCCCCCACCACCAACCCCCATTCTGTCCCACCCCTCCCCTCCTTAGACTCAAAGAAAGGAAGACTTTGCTTCGCTGCACCAAAACCGCTTTTTTTTGGCTCAAATGTTCAGTTTAGAGTGGTGCTTGTGTGTCTGTGTGTGTCTGTCTGTCTGTTTGTGTCGCTAAGTGTGTCTGTCTGTGTTTATTTGTCCGTGTGTGTGTCTGTGTGTCTAGTGTCTGTATGTGTGTCTGTGTGTGTGTCTATGTGTCCGTATGTGTCTGTCTGTGTGTGTCGCTACGTGTGTCTGTCTGTGTTTATTTGTCCGTGTTTATGTCTGTGTGTCTGTGTGTCTAGTGTCTGTATGTGTGTCTGTGTGTGTCTATGTGTCCGTATGTGTCTGTGTGTGTCTGTATGTGTGTGTCGCTAAGTGTGTCTGTGTTTATTTGTCCGTGTGTGTCTGTGTGTCCGTATGTGTGTGTGTCCGTATGTGTGTGTGTCTGTCTGTGTGTGTCGCTAAGTGTGTCTGTCTGTGTTTATTTGTCCGTGTGTGTGTCTTTGTGTCTGTGTGTCCGTATGTGTTTGTGTCTGTGTGTTTGTCTGTGTGTGTCGCTAAGTGTGTCTGTCTGTGTTTCTTTGTCCGTGTGTGTGTCTTTGTGTCTATTGTCTCGCGTCCGTATGTGTGTGTGTCCGTATGTGTGTGTGTCTAGTGTCTGTATGTGTGTGTGTCCGTATGTGTGTGTGTCTGCCTGTGTCTGTCTGTGTGTAGGTGCTCGCTAACAGCACTTGCCCCTACAGTCTGTTCAGGCTATACGGGGGATCTTTTTTTGTTTGTGTGTGTAGCTAAGTGTGTCTGTCTGTGTTTCTTTGTCCGTATGTGTGTCTGTGTGTGTGTGTGTGTCTAGTGTCTGTATGTGTGTGTTTGTGTGTCCGTATGTGTGTCTCTGTGTGTCTGTGTGTCCGTATGTGTGTCTGAGTGTCCGTATGTGTGTGTCTGTGTGTCTTTGTGTGTGTCTGTGTGTGTTTGTGTATCCGTATGTGTGTGTCTGTACAGTATATGTGTCTGCGTGTGTGTGTGTCTGTGTGTCCGTATGTATGTCTGTGTGTGTGTGTCTGTGTGTCCGTATGTGTGTGTCTGTGTGTCTTTGTGTGTGTGTCTGTGTGTCCGTATGTGTGTCTGTGTGTCTGTACAGTATATGTGTGTCTGTGTGTGTGTCTGTGTGTGTGTCTGTACGTGTGTCTGTGTGTCCGTATGTGTCTACGTGTGTCTGTACAGTATATGTGTCTGCGTGTCCGTCTGTGTGTCTGTATGTGTGTCTGTGTGTCCGTATGTGTCTACGTGTGTCTGTGTGTCCGTATGTATCTATGCATCCGTGTGTGTGTGTCTGTGTGTCTGTATGTGTGTCTGTGTGTCCGTATGTGTCTACGTGTGTCTGTACAATATATGTGTCTGTATGTGTGTCTGTGTGTTTGTGTGTATGTGTGTCCGTATGTGTCTACGTGTGTCTGTGTGTCCGTATGTATCTATGCATCCGTGTGTGTGTGTGTGTTTGCGCGTGTCTTTGTTTTTCTTTGTCTGTGCTGTGTGTGTGTGTGGCGCAGTGGTTAACGCACTGCGCTACGATACCCTCCTAAGGCCACCGACATCAGTAACGATTCTCCGAATCGGTCCTGGGCATCCCCTAGGTTGACTCAGCCTCAAATGAATACATCGTTGCGATGTCTAATCATCGCCACTAGGGAGACGAAGGCGGCCGGGCGTGGTAGCTGGCCACCAACCACATATGTATGTGGACTTCTTTCGCACCGTACGTAGCCGACCGTGCCAATCGTAGCCAAACTCAAGTGTTGCCACAGGTGCTCGCTAACGGCACTTGCCCCAACAGCCTGTTAAGGCTATACGGTGGATCTTTGTCTTTGTGTGTTTCTGTTGCGTGTGTGCATTGAGGTGTGGATGTGTGCGCGCGTGTGTGGGGAACCGTGCATTCGTATTCTATATAGGCAGTATACATTGTCGGTGTGTGTATTGGTATAGATCTGCGTGTGTGTGTGTGTGTTGTGGATGCCTGTGGTTATGTAAATGTGGAACGGATGGCGGAGTGGTTAGCGAACCCGAGTTCGATTCCCGTTTACAACAAATAACCGGTCCTGGGCCTCCCCTATGTCGACTTACACGGTGAGGTCCATACACACCCAGGGCCGGATTTAAGATTTGTAGGGCTCCTGGGCAACAGTTACTGTGAGCCCCCCCCCCCCCAGTAATATAAAAAATTAACCCGTAAAAACAAAGTTTTTCACTATAAATCCTTTATATGCGTGGCGGCTAGAGTCCTCTCGTCCTTTGGCTTGAGATGGCTGCCACCTATGGGTCAGATGATTGTCTGCCAGCATTAAGCAATTGGTAATTAAATAGTTTTTTTCTTTTCCCTAAACAGTGTAAAATTTTAGGAAAATGAATTGTCACGCAGAACGAGTCTGTGTGGAAAATGTCAGGTCGATTGGATCACGGGAAGTGGGTTAAAAAACGACCGAAAGATGTGCACGGTCGTAAGCAAGCAAGCAAGCAAGCGAACTTAATATAAAGGATTTAAAAAAAAAATTTAAAGAAAAATAAAAGTATTTTTTTACAAGGCTAACAACAAATTAAATTCAGCATTCACAAACGAAATCACTTTTCACTTCAATCTCTCAAGGCCCTCCAGCTAGCTACAGCCCATAAAGCCCCCCCCCCCCCCGATGCCTTAATCCGGCCCTGTACACATCACACACTGGGGGAGACAAAGGCGGCCGGGCGTGGTTCTAGCCACACCACACCGCTTCTTTCTGTGCCGTGCCGGCATTCATAGGCGCTCGCTAACAACACTCATCCCAACGGCGCGTTGGTATCTCGAAGTAGTGCTGCTGGTGGTGGGGGGGGGGGGTCTTTTCTTTGTCTTTGTGGGTGTGTGCCACACCGTGGCGAGCACAGGTGGTGCATCTGCCAGCCGGTCAACCTGCGTAGCACCTCGGTGTGACCGCCCCCCACCCACCTCCTCCTCCCGAGCAACGAGCCTCAAGGGTGAACTCAGCCGGGCATAGGCGCTGTTGTGTTGTGTGATTGTGTGTGTGTGTAGGTGTCCGTGTGTTTCTGGACACATTCCCATCAGTGAGCTCCTCCGGCAGGCGAGGCTGCGTTGCCTGGGTCACGTAGCCCGCATGCCCAGCCACCGCATGCTCCGAGCAGCTTCTGTTTGTCCGGATGAGAGGGGGTG